AGGTATAAACAGTGCGGTTGAATCTTTTGAGGCAAATTTCGATGACTTATTAAAAGACAATGATCTAACTGGTCATAAATTCATGGATGTTTGTTTTCAAAGTGTCGATAGTATAAAGGCCCATTAGTCGGTACGTGCCGTAGAAACTTATGTCAAAACGAAATACACACATTTTTTTTTTCGTTTGATATAAACTATTCACTAAAATCCTTTGTTAGATATCGGAGTTATGTTAGTCGGTACGTACCGTAAGAACTTTAGTAAACTTAAACCAAAGCAAAATATACAACCAACCATACCTGTGTGTATTTTGCTTTGGGTTAAGTTCGCTAAAGTTCTTACGGTACGTACCGACTAACTGAGCCTTAAGGATAGTCCGCATAAACATCATCTTTTTGATAACATCAAAAAATGTCTACGGGTGTCTAATCACATGAATTTGGTGGCCATTCAAAAGACATACATCAGTCTTTTTTATTAATGTAACATACAGACTTACCATATATTTCTAGATCAAATGAATATCATACTATAAGTCACACTATACAGTGACTTGTAAATGCTGGTGATCTTTGCGATAGTTAATTGTCACTGTCACAGAATATTCTGTTTAACACCTAATCTTCCAAGCAAAAATTTATTTCATTACTAAAAACTACTTGTTTCGAAATGTAACTACAACAGAATCATCATTTTTGTAGCAAGCTTTCCGTTTTAACATGTGCATAGGTTGCTAAGTGATCCATATTGTGAAATGGCAATATGAATGACAGTTGCATTTGACATACGTCGCTAAAACTAAACTAAAACCAAGTCAAGTCAATGGAAGAGATAATTCTTCATTTTCACTCCTTTTTGTTTGTTACTTTTTTATTGGAAAAATATGTCCTTGTTGAATATTAAATATTAAACTATTGACTAAAATCCTTTGTTAGATATCAGAGTTGTAAAAAAATTTTCCGTTTTTATTGGTCTTGCTTGGTCATCAGAACTGCTTTGAAGTAATTTTTTTTGTAGATTTTTTGAGGAAGTACCCAACAAAATGAACTTCCACAACTTTTGTTACTTCAATGTATTTTATATTATACACTTTTTTATGTACTTTAATTTGTAAAATGTTTGGTTGAATTGGTTCGCAACTTGTCTACTAAAACTGAGTTTTGTAAGTAAATTATTTATAAATTTTTATGAAAATATATGTCGTGTGTAGTAAAAACTTAGAAACCATTGTCTGCATAGTTTATATCTAATCGAGCTTGCTGGAAATAGATTTTGTGTGTCTTTCTGTTGTTGAAGTTTATTTGTCTTATATTAGTTAAAAAAAACAAATCCCGCATCTATTTCATTGTCATCACAATTGCTTTGAAGTTAAAATAGTATGAAAAAATGGTACGAAGTAAATGGTTAAAAGAAGGGTTTCTTTTTACCACATTTTTATTCTTGAATACGAACATTTTTCCAAGTTTTTTATTTTATTTCTTTATTCATATTTTCAACACTCCTGGCAGCATTTCTATGCAAACACAAACGTATGTACTTAGATACTTTCGTGAACGTATGTAATATAGGGGAGTTCAAGCTTTATGTATCTGATAGTAAAAATTCTGTTGAGGTTGCGCTTTCAATGTTTGCACTGGAAAAATTGCAGAACCTCGGTTGTTATCACAAGAACAACATAAATTTAACTTGCATGCAAGCGCGTATCTGTGGTGTTTTTGATTTGAAAAGTGTGTAAAATAGACGTTAAAAGTGCAGATTTTTCTTGCACTCCTAGGCAGGAGGCATGATGAAAATTGTATTGCCAAAGTCCGGAAATTTAAGTATTTTTATGCAAATTGAATCACTTGCAGTGCGGAAGTAGAAAATTGTTGCTTCAAAGTGATTTGTATTTACCATTAAATATGATTTGCCATACGCAGAATTAAAAAAAAAAGATAAACTAAAAATATTTTAGTACTTGAGTCATTCTTCAGGTGTTTTTAAATATGTTTTTTGTCTGTGATTGAAATATATAGAAAAATAGTTTTGCTCACTACTTGTATTTACTTAATCCAAAGGTTTTGAAGGATTTTTTTCTTTAAAAAGAAATTTATCTAAATTTTTCTTATCAGTCACACAATCTTTTAGTTAGGAACAAATGGTATACTTTTTATGTTTCTAGCTATTTTACATTTTAGGTTTCAAAATATTTTTTTTTCTTTTGCAACATTTCTTTTATTTCATTTATTTTAGCTTACTTTGCAACCAAGTGTAGTGCTGTTGGCCCAGCTCTCGCTTTTATATTTTTACCTTAGTTACACAGTTATCATTAAATAAATGTCGTCAAATCTGGGGCATGCCACATTTACGTACTATTTTTCCCCAACTTGAGTACAGTAATTGTGCAACAGCAGTGCAGTTTAGCAACGCCTCAGCACGACCACATGCAGCGGTGTATCTTTATACTTTGTTACATTAAGCATATGCGCTTGTCACATTTATTTCTATTTTTAGCTGCAGCAGATACTTAAAGTATATTTTTCATTTTCATATAAAAATTTTTAATTTCTAAAAACTTCAACTCTCCCAAATCGAAATAAAGAAAAGTACATATTATTTATTGAATTTATGCTATCTTTAGTTAGTTAAATGTAAAATGAAGTTGTGTTGCATTTGATATATTGCATTTTGCTTGTCAAATGTTTGATATTGTAGTGGAGGGGTACATTTTAGATAAGCCCTGAATGAGGTGAATCGCCTTGGGGTTTTTTTAATTTTTTTATTTTTTTTAAAATTCCCAAAATGCCTGCATTTTTGGGGTTTTTCTATCAGCGGTTCTTGTTGTTGGTCTTGTTTTAAGGTTAACCCAATGCCCCAAATTTGGGGGGGCCCTTTAAAACATATCTCTTATGGGTAAGTGGTCGAGTGATGTGTAATCTAATTGTCATTAACTGTTGCATTAATTTTTTTATTATTGTTGGTTGTTGAGGAAATAACGCATTTAGGTAATAATTATATCAAACAACTAATTTTCTATGACACTTGTGCCTTTAGCGGGTCAGAATAGAGATTCGACATCATTATAAAGAGTTTCTCATTTACAACAACCTATATGAATTGAATAATTATTTTATATAGTATAAACCTTTTGCTCAAAAAGTATTCGAATTTTGTAAATAAAACACACAAATTAAAATTTTATTTCAAATTTATTTTATCTTCTTTAAAATATGTTCCTTCTGAAGCGATAAACATATGCCAACGCTTAACCCAATCTTCCATACACTTTTCGTAGACCCGTGCAGGTATGCCTTTTAGTTCCTTCGGCGAATTCTCTTTTACCGAATCAATCGACTCAAAACGCTTACCACGAAGGGGCAATTTGAGTTTCGGGAACAGGAAAAAGTCGCACGGCGCCAGATCTGGCGAATATGGTGCCTGAGCGATGACAGTGGTGCCGTGTTTGGTCAAAAAATCGCATAAAACAATAATTTTCCATAGTAAAAATCGCTAAATGCACTTGAGGTAGTCTCACATTAACAGCTGCTGTAAACAATCTAATTGACAGATGACGCTCAAATTTGTACCATATGTAAGAAAGGGTGTACCAACATAACAAAAAAAAAATTTTGAAAAAGGTCTATTACTTAAGGAGTAGTTAACAAACAACAAAATCCGGATACTTTTTGAGCAGAAGGTATATAATATAGTTTGTCACAGTCAAAGTTCCATAACTCAAACTTGTATAACTTCAATTTTCTATAACTTGAACTAAATAGGGTGCAACAGAATTCTATAAATTCAATTTACATACAATTACAAAAAATATTTTAACTCAAAGTCATCATAGCTCGAATCTTTCTTTTGCAAAATGGTACTTCAAGGAAGTTTTAACTGTACTTCCATTCGAACCCAACACAACAATTGGTATAAAATCATGTAGAGTGACTATATTTATTCGTCAGCCAGTTTGATTGTTGGTACAAGTATTTTGGATTGCAATTAATCCAACGAAACCTTTTGTTTCAACGAAAAACATATTCTCCGAAATCTTAAGAATCGCTTGGAATCGCATAAACGCGATTTGCTAGTTAGAGTTTTTAATCAAACAATTGGTCACTAGTGTCGATAAATTACAAACCAAACGCCCATTTATCTTAGCGTGCAAATTATAGCTGATTTGCGATGCACCGAACATTTTAAAAGGAAAGGTTTAATTATTTATAAACAATTCTACTATAATGTATACGCAGCCAACCCTGCTAAATTGTGAAATGTCATAATATTTTGAAAATATATTATATATGACGTTTTCGATTAGTAATTCTGGATTCAATCTAGTTTTACTCTAGATCTGCCAAAATTTGTTGCCCAATCGAACATTTTTAGAGTAAACTACGGTTTTTGTAGTTGTATTAGAATATATTTATATTTTTTAAAAATACATATATCGAATCAAATAACACTTTATTTGTTGTCATATGAAACAGTTGTTATTTTGAGGGTATTCTTGCTACTCTGGCAAAATATCTAGAGTATTATAAATTAATCTAGAGTGTTATATATTAATTACACTAATATAGAGAATTTTATATATTACATTTTATTATATTACAATTTTATTATATTACACTAAAAGTGAATTTCGATTAAAAAGATTCGCCCCAGATTTATTAATCGAAAACGGCAATAGCAAAACATATAGAATAAAAAATAGTAACAGTAAACAGTACATTAATAAAAACAATACATTATTGTGCCCTTCAAATGTCTTTATTAACTTAATATTCCCTGACTTCATATTCACAATAATAGTGCATAGTGTATAATTGGCAAAATTAAAATGTTCTTTTTATCAGTTAATTTGACAAAAATGTGCAAATAACTTTTTTGAAAATTCTGCTAGTTTTAGTTATTTCTTCTTTAATATAGAGACCATATTTGTTATCTAAATATTTTGGGAATCGAAAACAGTATAAATAGATTTTGCAAATCTGCTATTAATTATAGAGATATTTACAGTCAAAATGACAATATCGCGCTTAACATTATTTTTGGTTCTACTCTATATCTTTATAGATTCTTCCAATTCTGAAGGTAAGAAGATATGAATTGGAATTATAAATCTATCCTTTTAAATCTTTTCTATCTAGAAACATGTACGCCTTATGGACATGAGCGGTATTCTTCATTTATAAATATTGGTAATAACTATTACAACATTCCTCATGATAATAAGGTAATCATAAAAAAATATTTTATTCCTTCCTTAAATCAATTCTGAGATAGACCTTTCTTGAATTTCTTTTAAAAAAATGTGAAATAATTAAAAAAAAAATATTTCTATCTAAGCAATTGAAAAAATTTTTTATGTGTACTTTAACTCGGTTGAGTTTTAATACCCTTATGATTTATGAGATAACTATTATATATCTTATTATAGTTTATATTATGTTTCCTTCCAAAATAAAAAGAAAAGTTTTTATTTAAATAAGTATCCTAAACGGCCCAAATCTCATGAACTTGCTATTTTAATTCTAAACTATATGTCGTCCCTATTATTTCTCAACGAAGATTGAAAAGGAGATTGATAAGCTCATACTGGTTATGTTACAGTGGATACTTCTTAAAATACATAGATATTTGCTTTAACAGTAACATATTTTCTATTGATTCAAAACCTTTTTTTTATTATTTTAAAATTGCATAGACTAATTGGTTCAAAGCACGTGAAATATGTCAGTCGATGGGAGCTGATTTGGCTACAATAACGGATGATGGTCAACTTACTGCAATATCAAATCATTTGATGTCTTTAGGGTATGGGGCAAATGATTGGTTTTGGACAGCTGGTAACGATTTAGCTGAGGATAATAATTTCCATTGGGTTAGTAATGGTGAAAGAATGACATTTACGAAATGGTCTGCAGGACAGCCATTTGGTGGTGAGATTGAAGACTGTGTGCACTTGTGGTTACGTGAAGGACAATTTAAAATGAATGATTGGATATGTAAGGGTGGAAATGCTTATTATATATGTCAAGCTCCTATACCTAAAACTGTTTGCGTATGGTGATAATTTAAAGTTGTCATTAAACAATGGAAATAAAATATAATTGTGAAATATTTACTTTGTAAATTACTTAAAATTGATTAGTAATAACTAATTCAGTATGATATGGAACATATGTAATATGTAGATTAAATTATATTCCATACTTTTTAGGTTCATAATATATAACGTCCTTATAGATTTCATAAAAATTTATAAGTAGTTCTTATAGAAGTATATAGCTTCTAGTTTGTTTAAAAGTTTTAAACAAAGACATTTTTAATTTTATTCACTTCTAAGTATAACCGATTTTTCAATGATATTTTTTCTTGAATTGTTCTGAATTTCAGTTTGTTAAGTTCGGACATCGATATTATCTATTCGCATTTTACAATTGATAGGAAATTAATTCAATGCCCCAATTTGGTTTTCGTTAAACCGAATGTGGTTTGAACCAATCACTGACTTTTCCATCTACTCCAATTACTTTATTTGTAATGTTTTTTTGAATTCCAAAAACTAAAAGTATGGATTAAAAAAGAGAATAAACATTTTATATTTCTAATTTCTTTAAATTTCTAAAATTTCAAACAAATTGACCTATATTTAATAAGTAGAAAAAATTGAGAAGTATAGAATATAAATTTTCATCAAGAAAAGTAATTTATTACATATCAAAAAAATTTTTTTTAATTAATACGGTTTCAATTTCATATACTAAGTGTATAATTTATGACATTCCCATATTTATTTGTTAGTGAAACACGCATATACTAGAGCTATTTGATAAGTAAGCTGAATTTTTGCTTCCCCTTAAAATTATTTTTCAACATAGTCTTATTTAAACTGTAAACACACCTACATTAGTAGTATTCTGAATTTTTTAATCCGATTTAAAACATTCGGCACAGGGTTGTGAATATATTTTATCAAAATATTCTTTAAAGTTACTGAATTTACAACAGATTTCGATTGAAATTTCTTCCTAACAAAATCTTTTATAAAAATTTAAAAATATATTAAAATCAGTTGAAGCAAAATCTAGTCGCTGAAACATTAAAAAGTGAGGCACATATGTCACTGCATTTTAAAAATAAATCTCACACTTACTCTTAATTTTGTCTTTCGAGGTTAGATCGATTCAATTATAGTTATACCAAACAATAAAAACCATAACCTCTCGCGTTGATGAAACTAACTATCTTCGTGAAAAGCCAATTGCTTCGACTGTTGATTCTTATCTAATCGCAAATTAGATATGGTCGATTCAATTAAAGTTATTCCAAAAAATAAAAACCCATTACCTCTTGCGCTGATGGAACTTAATATCTTTAGGAAATGCTCACCATTTCGACTACTAAACCTTATCTAATTGCAAATTGGTTAACATTATTTCTACTCCTGCAATGACCAAAGTCACGGAGAAGAACGATCTTGTGCTTTTAACGAATCGAGCAAATTGTGCTGTGGTAGGATTTTAACTTATAATATTTTTCGTCTTTTCGAATCCTACCTTGTAAATATTCTCTTTGCTTCAGAAATAGTGGGTTCTTTAAAAAATTCTTCTTAAGCAATCAACATAGTAAATTTTCCTTTTTTCTTCTTTTTTTTTTTTTTTTCTTCTTCTTCTTCTTCTTCTTCTTCTTCTTCTTCTTCTTCTTCTTCTTCTTCTTCTTCTTCTTCTTCTTCTTCTTCTTCTTCTTTACTCTATAATGGCTAGGGGGCTTATCTCTACCCCACACTAGGCTTTAACTAGACTAAGAAATTATGTCATTTATTTGTCTTTTAGTTGATGACAGACCTTAAATCAGCATATCTTCCTGAGAGTCAAAATTAGAATTCAGAATCAAAAATGTCTATGTTTATTTGTAAATATTCTCTTTGCTTCAGAAATAGTCTGTTCTTTAAAAAATTCTTCTTAATCAATCAACGTGGTAAATTCTTTTTTTTTTTCTTTTTTTTTTTTTTTTTTTTGTTTTTTCTCAATTTTTCAATACCTAGTGAATGCTAAATAGGTCTCGGGATGGGTATTCGAGAAATAATCAATGTTCAAGCTCTCTTACGGACTAAAAAAAAGCGATATAAAAGTATTTTAAATATATCTATATATATTTTATATATATTTATGTATTTATCAACGACTTATCCAACAGCCCTCGTATCTTTATTCCTAGTATTTGTTTTTTAGTTGTGCTCTGTTTTTTTGATGTTCTTTGTTTTATAAGGTTTGCGAAATCCTATAGTTTTTCTTTTAATATTAGTAATAATTTAATATCTGTTGTCCTATATACTTTAAACAAAATGTATACATAAATCTTAATATAAAGTATTTCCTGACTATATGCAGTTTGCATGTGGAAAGCGTGAGGAGATGAATTTCGTTATTCTTCGAATAAATCAAATCAAAATTTTGTCCGTGATTTCGATATGAAAAAAAATGTTATGTTAATGGTCACGCATACTTAACATAAAAGGTCAAAAGTAGTATTTTTTATTTTCTTTTGTATTTAAAGGTATTTTATTATATTATTTTATATACTATAAAAATCTTTCCCATATTTTATCGAACACTTTTTTATTTTATTCAGCAAAATAACTTACATATTTGCTACGACCTTTAAGTATTGTTCAAGATATTTTTGTACATGTTTATGTCATAATAGAAAGTGAATTATTGTGTTATTTTAATTTAGCAAAAATATTTGTTGACAGCAATTTTCATTTACATTGGATAGAGATTTATAATAAGCAAATCGTTGAAGTATGAGCGTAAATACATTCCTATCAGAAATGTTTATTCACATTGAATGTGAAGAACAATTCCTTAAATAGTTCTGCAGATATTTTTCCCTTATTTTAGATTTTTGTATTTTGGTATTATTGTTTTCTGTTTCTTAAAGAAATCAAATCAACGTTTTTTTTTGCTTGTAACTTCTCATAACTAAAGCCATAAATACACCAAGTCTCGTTATTATGTGGATTCGTGTAAGTATAAATGTATCTGTTTACCAAGTTGAAGTAACTTTATTTGAATTTTTACATTCCACATCCGTTGACTTTGTTGCGTTTCTTTAGTTCTTTTATGTATATTTTAATGTTACCTTTTTCGTTTATTTTTTTTTTTATATATATTTTTTTTCATTTAGTTTATTAATTTCTTCATGCCACGTCCTAACAACTTGTAAAATTTATGGTAGTTTTACGGGAATAATATTCACGTTTAGTACATAAATAAATCAAATTTGGTGAATGAAGTTTACAACATTTTAAATGTAACGCGGATGTTTCTTTCTTTACTTCAGTTTATTTCAGTTTTTTTATATTATTTTTTTTGGATTTAATATGATTTGAAATATTAAAAGCTTTATGAATAATGTTCTGCTAAATCTTTAACACATTTAAGTGAAATCACAGTATTTATTTTAATGTTGTCAGCTTAAAATGTGAACTTATTTTCGTACGACAATCTTTATGGCAACAAGCAATTAACACAGATTTTGTATTAGATAATTTAATTATATTGAGACAAGAATTAACACTGAAGTTACTTGATATACAAATCTTGTTAAGCGTATGATGTATATAATTTATCTCATATTTTCATCGGCATACCTCCAGCTCAAAAAGTACCCGGATTTTGTAAATAAAACACAAATTTAAATTTTATTCCAAATTTATTTTATCTCCTTCAAAATATGCTCCTTCTGAAGCGATACACATATGCTAACATATGCTTAACCCAATCTGCCATACACTTTTCGTAGGCCCGTGTAGGTACGGCTTTTAGTTCCTTCGGTGACTTCTCTTTTACCGATTCAATCGACTCAAAATGCTTAACACGGAGGGGCAATTTGAGTTTCGGGAACAGGAAAAAGTCGTACGGCGCCAGACCTGGCGAATATGGTGCCTGAGCGATGACAGTGGTGCCATGTTTGGTCAAAAAATCGCGTACAACAAGAATTTTCCACAGTAAAAATCGCTAAATACACTTGAGGTAGTCTCACATTAACAGCTGCTATAAACAAACTAACTAAGATACATAACAAAAAAATTTTTTGAAAAAGATCTATTACTTAAGGAGTAGTTAACAAACAACAAAATCCGGATACTTTTTGAGCAGAAGGTATACACACTTATAGCTTTATTTATAACTTTCACTATTTTGCAGAGGTTTTAGCTAAAAGTGGTAAATCGAACAATTATATCATTAATTATATACATAATTATTAATAAACAATTATAAATAATTTTTGTTAATTTTTTTTAACTGTTTATGATTAAGAAACATATTATAAGTTCAACAGTTCAATAAAGTAAGAAGTTACTGATTCAATTAAGTTTATTTCTTTGGAAATAAGCAAATACTTAGACCCCCATGTTATGTAGAGTGTCAGGGGTACGTTAAAAACCAAAATTGTTTTTGCTTTCCATGCAAATTTAAAAACTGAGAGTGAGAGAAAAAAATGTCGTTTTAAATTCGGTCATAAGAGCCGAAGCTATTTGTGGCTCGTCACTCAAAGTCGGGTTGTGTGTATGTATATATTTCCTTTAATATTTAGTTATAGCCAAAAAGTACAAAAGTAATAGTAAAAATACGAAATTGACAAACTGATCTGACTGCCACTGCATAACATGCATTTTTGTCATAGCCGGAAGGATCCAATTTTAACGAGCCATAACATGGGTCTTAAAGGTGTTCACAATGTGAACTTCACATATATATATTTTTTTCGTTCAAACACGATTTTTGTGTCTCAAGAAGAAAACTTATTTCTTCGTGCAATAAAAATTGTTAGAATAAAAGAAGTTCAAGAAGTAATGAAGAAAAGCACGCTTTGTGGTACTTATAACAATAAAAGATACCAGGATTGTATGAATCTATCAAAAAAAAAAGACTTAGAATCATCGCAGGAATTCTAACAGGGCACAGTAAATTAAAATACCATCTTATTAGACTGGATATACTTACTAGTCGGCCAAACATATGTTGTTAGAATGCCCTGCACTAATGCACATACGGAGTAGGCTCCTGCCTCTTACAGAAGAGGCAATAAAACTCTGCAAAGGAGGTTCTATACTAACCGAGAAGAGAGCACAATAGACGCGACGGTCGCAGTTCCACATCCCCTAACAATAATAATAATAATCAAGGAAAGCAGGGTTGCGGTTTGTTAAATGTACGGTTTGTTAAATATATTAAGGGTCTCTGAACTGTGGCTAGCCTTTTTTTTTTTTTAAATCACGTGTTTCGATAAATTTGAAAAATTGGACTCTTTTTCCTAAATGGTTTATTTTGTTTTTTGGACTAAGAAAACACTTTCTTCTATTCTTATGATACTTTTTAGAAAACACCTGAACATAGTTTTTTTTATAAATATGTAATGAATAACTATTGCTAAAACTATATCTAAAACTAAAAATTTTTATAGTTATAGTGAAATCTGTTACTTAAGACCTGATATTTTATACTATATTTTAGTGTTTTATTATATTTTTCATTTCATATTTGTAAAGTTAATTTACACTATTTTATTATTACTTTGCTATGTATAATTCTACCCTGCTAAACTGATATTTGTTGATACTAGAAATTTACCATACGCACTTAAAAAGTTTTGTTGATCCTTTGTATGAAAAATAACTCCCTAGATATATATCTATATGCATATATATGTATATAAATTGTTGAAAATACTTATAATTTAAAACAAATTATACCCACATGATTCTAGTCGTATTCCCCTGTCAACTACATTACTAGATATTCATATTTAATGTTTAGAGTTAGTAACAAAATGTTTTTGTTATTTTGGCTTATGTCAACTAATATATCTAGAAACACGCATTCGCATACACATGTCTCTGCATTTATGTATATAATCAGTATTTTAATATGCAGACTGAAATTTAGTTATGAATATTTTTCCCGTTTATAAACGTATTCGTTTGAGATATTTGCGTCACCTCAAGGATAAGCTACATTTTGTTGAATGCCATTCGTCAAGTGCCAGGATATCAAGTTGCGAATTTCATACTATGTATGTGAAATATATTTTCACAAACTGTCTATCTGTCTGTGTGTCTGTCTCTTTGTGTGTCTAACTGTCTATCTGTTTGGCAACATATTTGTAAGCACTAAAGTTAATTTGCGCTGGAAGTAATACTCACACCGATTGGGACATTGTGGCGCCTTGCGGCAACTTTATGCATATATTCCCGCTTTTGTTGAAGGAAAATCGGTGGTAGTTTTAATGGTTGTCGCTGTGGTGGTTCATTGGTGGTTGTACCAAACAAGAAAATTATGACAGAAGTAAAAAGGCACAAAATGGAAGAATGGGTGGTTGGTGCTATTTTATGGCTTTCACCGATTTAATTAATAATATATACTCTACTACTATTGTGTGCGTTAAACATTATATGATTATTGTTTGGAATAGTGAATAGTTCAAGGTGATTATTAAATGTCAAGTTTGTGTCAATTTTAACCGAGGCCATATAAAAAGTACATTAATGATATTTTAATATTCTGTAATAATTTTGGTAAGCTATTTATGATACCTTCATTATTTAGTTATGAAAATAATAAGTTTATGTGTTAAGCAATTCTGATGTAAAATCCAAAACAATCAAGTAAAGAATTAATAAACCATTTACATAAATAAGCCATAAAAAATATGCTTTTATTCAGTGGTTTCTTGTTGGAATTTCACGCACAACCTCGCCTTATTTTGTAATAAAAATTATTAAATTATATAAATAAAATTTATATTGCGTAATAAAATTTGCAGAGTTTTTGCATATTTAAAAATTTTTTAATGTTTTCAATTTAACTTTTTCTTCAGTAACAATTTTTTTATTACTACTTCATACTTTTTTATTTTCTATTTTGCTCAAGTTCCTATTAGGAATTTTCCCATCGCTCGTAGCATTTCCCGGTGTGATGTTTCCATGCTTGTGGAAACCCTACTTTGAGATATTTTCACGTTAGTCATGTTATATTTCTATTTATTGCTTTTGGCTGTTTTATACAATATTTCGATGACAAAACTTGTAGATATGTGCGCTCGTGTAAGTTCTTTGTAATTTATTAAATTATGTACATTTTGCTTATATACATGTAGTTACACAAACTGAAAAAAAAGCATCCTTTAGGGTATTATCCACAAAATATTCATTCGTCACACATATTAAAATTTTATACTGCTATATGAAGGATTTTAGTTGAAGAATACAACACACGGAATCGTTTAGCGTGTTCTTAACGATCTTACGATGAAACAATCATAGCTTCAGAAAAAAACTGTATAATTTATATCTTTAAATACAATTTCTATACAATTTAGCTTCCGTGCTTTAATAATTTCATCAGTTGTTAATCGGTTCTTCTGTTTGTTTTATTGGTTTGAGAACAATCTGAGAGACTGAAGACTATTCTTCAGTCTCTCTGTAAATATTACACAATGTGGAAAATAAGAAAGAAACAAGCCCTCCTTTGCCGACACGACGAAAAGATCAATAACAATGCAAACATTATCCAACCCACCATGTTTAAGACTGAAATCTCAAAAATGTCTAGCTATCCCGAAGTACAAATTTACGAAAAATTTGAAAAAATTAATTTACTATTCTCACGAGTTGCTTATTTAACTAAACTAAGTATACCACGAAAAAAGAATGAGCAATTTCCCGAGATTCAAAGCAAGATTTTATGTGACACTCAAAGCAGAGTGTCACTTCCATTCTTGATAACTTCCCAATATTTACTCTTATATAAAGACTCCTGACGACATATCCTGGTTAAATACATTAGATCTTTTATCATTTAAACATTTTATGCTTTTATATTGTAATTATTTTTTGTTTCTGTTATTCTTTAATTAGCTTGGTATACGATTAATAAATAACTTAATTTTAAGTTCCTTGCTTTCGATTTGAAGTTAGTTTAAATATAAATAATTATATTTAAATTATAAAAAAATAAACCATCGAATTTTATATATATTTACTATTAGAGAAGTTATGAAAATTAGACGTCTGTGAACAAAATTTAAAAAATGTTTTAGTATGTATATATTTAAAACAATTTTTATTTTCAAATCAAGAAAAATGTTACCTGATTCTATAACAGAACTTTATACTACTGTTCGTCGAATTCTCTTTAGTTGAATAACGCACCTTAACTCAAATTTTGAGTATATGTATTGTAATTTTTTACTACATGTAATATCTTTGTTAAAAAGTAATCAATTGATTCATTAAACTTTATTGCATACATTTTAATTAAAAGCAAAAGATAATTTTTTTCTAAGAAATTGGTAAGCACTGATACTCATAATTATTTCAAGAATTACAAAAAGTGCAATATTTTTAGTTTGTCTTTGCTCTTATTTTAATACCCTTCACACTTATAGTAGTTATCTTATTACAAAAATACTCCAAATCCACATTTTAATTTAGATAAAAGAGAACCTAAAAATATAGAATAGAGAACATAAAAAACTTATTAATCGATTTTTTGAAAACTTCAGATTAGTTTGTATAGAGAGATAAACAGAGAGATATATCAATCAGCATAAATCAATATATGTACTGATCAATAACATAATGTATATGGTCTGCAAAATCTTTCCAAACAGTATAATTAACTTAGTATACCGATTATATATAATAATCTGACGAGTATAATTATGACAAACTTAACTTGTTCTTGTTATCAATTATTATTGCAAAGATTTGCAAATGATGTTGTTGAAATTGGGTTACCTTTATTATTATTTTCTTTTTTATTTTTGTAGTAAGCTTGCTTTAGTTATCTAAATTTCTTGGGACTAACAAACAGTATAAATAGATTTTGCTCATCTCTTATTATTTATATAGTTCTTAAAGTCAAAATGACTACACCGCGCTTAATATTGTTCGCTGTTTTATTTTATATTTTTGTAGATTTATCTAAATCGGACGGTAAGAAGAATTTAAAAAGAATTATAAATCTTTTCATTATATCCTTTTGTATTAATTACAGAAACATGCTTAGGAAGCGATCGCTATAAATCGTTTAATAAAATTGGTAATAACTATTACCTTATTCATCATTCCAATAAGGTAAACATAAGAAATAAAATTCATTATGCGTTAAATTAACCCAAAAAACTGTTAATTCAAATATGTAATCTGTTCCTTGTGATTGTAAAATATTTTCTATTTTAACGTTGGTAGCACTGTAAGCAATTTTTTGGCAGATGAGAACAACTTCCAATGAATTTCATTATTTCAACTAGCATTTCTTTCAGAGGCAAAAAACAGTTGTTCAGTATTATGTTGACATTTAACGTTTGTAGCTAAAAACAACATTAATAGTAGGAGATATACTAATTCAAAATCCTTTTGAAAAGTTTATAAATCTGTCAACGTATTTAAAGATTCAACGTTATCACTACTAAAAACTTTGCGACTTATACTATATATAATATGCAGAATTTACTTTATTCTGTTCTGACAATTTATCGAGCCGAAAATTTGAAACGTATTTCTTCTTACTTTTTTCTCTTTAAGTAAAGCTTCTAATGTCGACACTTTTAAATTCAATTTATGATTTCTGCCATGAATGACTGTTGGCGCTATAAATATAAACTGCTCTTTAACGATTAATGGAAGATTAATGAAAAAAAATGTTTATATATTATACGCTGTATATCTAAGTGGTCCTTGTGAAACAGACGAGTTAAACATATTTAAATCCAAATGCTCAAGTACTTAGACTACTGTTTACACATTCTTGAAGCCATGTACAGTTCTAGTATAAGTGACCATGTTTTACTTCAAAAACTATAATGTTATAGATAGAGTTAATGTTATAGATTTTTAACATTTTTCATATACCTCGAAATACATAGCTTACGAGACTATACCAAATCAAAATATTTTTAAAATGTTTTATTGTCTTTATATGTTCTAATTTCATTTCATATAGTGACATATACTACAAATTTTTATACTTTTTATTAAATAGTATCTTCGTGTGAATCGCTAAAGTGAAATATATTATGTTCGGTATATTACGATTGGAAATTTTAATCTAATGCTGTCTTTTTAGTCACATAAAAATTATTATTGTTTATATTTTTATTACTTAAACCTTACATAGATCAATTGGTTCAATGCACGTGATACATGCAAGAGAATGGGAGCTGATTTAGCTACAATAACGGATGATAATCAACTTACTTTACTATCAAAACATTTAATGTCTTTAGGCTATGGAAAAGATGATTGGTTTTGGATAGCTGGCAATGATTTAGGTCAAGAAGGAAATTTCTACTGGGTTAGTAATGGTGAAAGAATGACATTTGCGAAATGGTCTCAAGGTCAACCTGATAATGATCATAACAATAAAGTTGAAGACTGTGTACACTTGTGGTTCCGTGAAGGACAATTTAAAATGAATGACTGGCAGTGTAAGAACGGAAAAGCCTATTATATATGTCAAGCACCTCAACCTAAAACCGTTTGCATATGGGGATAATTTCAAATTGTTATAAAAAGCATGCAAATAAAAATATGATGAAATATTAGATTATTATGTCATTAAATTAAACATTTTTAAATTGCTTACGATTTATAAGTACCAACCAACTTTAGTTTGAAAGTATTTTGTTCTGAAAGTTTTTTCATATATAATATTTTGAAATATATTATTTATCAAAAAAAAAAATAATTCTATATTTTATTTACAATTGTGAAATGAAATGATTCCATGAAATGCAGAAGTTTTATCCGACTGGATAGGGCTTAGAACATTCCCACGGTAGGGTAGGGCATGCCTGTCGTACGAGGCGACTAAATTCAGCCAGGCGGCGGAGGGTGTGGTTTAAAAGGTATACGTATGTGTAATCTTCAGCTAATAAGACTTTTAATCTTATATCATACATTATTTATTTTTATTTATAAACGATTATTGAACAAATTGAGTTATACTACATATTTATTAAACTAAAGCTTTTGCTTAGAATTAAAATAAGCATGGCAGTACTGCATACATCCTTTCAAAGATATTATAAAAAGATACTGACAGTTTCTGTAAAATACAGAATAAGACATTTGATCATCTTTCTTTTTTCTTTGCTTTGCGATTCTGGGGAATGTCGAAAAACGAGTCTAGTAAATATTTGGAATATTGCAGGAAAATTAATTGTTAGCAGTATCGATAGTTATAATATGTTGACGTGGTCTATTACAATTTTGTTTAGAGATAGCTTAATATACATATAGATCGCCATGTTAAATTGTTTTTCTAATAAGAATACACGAGTCCAGTTTAACGACTACTTACTAATAACTACTACTTCTGACCCACCTTATGTTTGTTAAATTCTTTAACTCGAATAATTATCAAACAAAACGCTGAAAATAATATATTGCCAAATTATATTCAAATCGAATTAAATATTTGTTTCTGTCATATGAATATTATTTTAAAATATTCTGAATATAAAAGTTTCGGTCTTAAAACATTATATGTTTGTTCTACTTCATTCATAATAAGCCTCCGGATTAATAAGATTCAACTTAATTTATTTTATGCAAATTTTAAATTAAATCATGACATATGATGACCTTAATAATTGTTTGCTTGAATCTTCTAAACATCTACACTTCACATTTATTAGTAGTTATAGATAAGTTTACTATCAATAAACTTAAAAATGCTAAAAGTAATTATTATTCTAAAGTGCAAATAAAATTTGAATTAATTTGATTTGATGAATATATTTGCGAAATAAATTAGAAAGTCATAAAAAATTAAATTTTAGCTTTATAAATGCCATCAATACCCTTTACACTTATTATAATATAAGTACTTATAATATAATTTTATTACTCATATATACTTTTTATTTATTTATGTGTGAATACTAAAAAATTGTAAAAAAACTGTGTACATGTAGTAATCCACATGATATACTAGATCTACATCTCTAAGACATTTCAGCCCTTTACACTTATTATAATATAAGTACTTATAATATAATTTTATTACTCATATATACTTTTTATTTATTTATGTGTGAATACTAAAAAATTGTAAAAAAACTGTGTACATGTAGTAATCCAAATGATATACTAGATCTACATCTCTAAGACACTTCAGCCCTTTACACTTATTATAATATAAGTACTTATAAGTAATATAATTTTATTACTCATATATACTTTTTATTTATTTATGTGTGAATACTAAAAAATTGTAAAAAAACTGTGTACATATAGTAATCCACATGATATACTAGATCTACGTCTCTAAGACACTTCAGCACCAAAAAAAAACAAAACAAAATGGAATGAAGCAGGTTTTTCGAAGAACTGTTGAAAATAGCATGGGTTATATCAAGGTGATAAGCCCATGCTTACCACCTATTGATAACATTTGTTATCAATAGTTTATATTTAAAAAAAAAGTTTATATTTTGCATCGAAAATAAGTTTCGTTAAAAAAGTTTCCTTTATTTTCATAATTTGACAAGTCAAAAGACTTGTTTAGATACAGTCAGAATCTAGAAAGCTTTAAACGATTCTACTTTCATCGTTAGGGTGTAACAAAAGTAATGATAAACAATCTTTTTTTCTTTAAGAAGGTGTTTAAGAGCAATGAGGTTATCATATTATAATATGACAATTTGCAAACACTGATGTTGAAATGGGGCTTCCCTCCAGTATTGTTTTTTTTTTCATTATCTCGTTGAGGTTTGGCACTTAATACCTCTTATCTCTGAATTTCTTGAAAGGCGATGACAGTATAAAAAGATTTTGCAAATTAGCTATTAATTAAACGAATTTTTACAGTCAAGATGACTACATCGCGCTTAATTTTATTTGTGGTTCTATTTTATATTTTCATAGATTCTTCGAAGTCTGGAGGTAAGAGAAAAATAATTAGAATTATAAATTTTCTATTAAATGATTTTCTATATAGAAACATGCATGGGAAGTGAACGCTATAGCTCGTTTTTAAAAATTGATAATAATTATTACTACATTCCTCATGACAATAAGGTAAAGATAAATGAAATTTTTTTTACAAAAGTACGAAGAATTGTTAATTGAAATAGTATCCTTAAAAGAAATCTATAAGTGAATTTCGTTCTAAAGTAAGTAGCACTAGGACTAGTTACAGTGCTTCTCTTATTATTATATACTTATTTAAAATAATCACTTTTTTTAAAGTAAATATTGGATATATGAATCGGTTGTTACCGTGTCAAAGTATATTAAACAATTTTAAATTTCTCCGGTCTGAATTCGGTAGAGTTAGCTAAAAGTAAATTCGCAGTAATTGTTAAGTACTCAAAATCTGGGTTGACTTAAACAGAAAGATTTAAGTTACAGTCCATATATAGATTTAACTGTACTAATAAATAAGTGCTAATGATTTCATTTTTCTATTATATATAATATATTCACAACTTGTTACATTAATATCACATAGATAAATTGGTTCGGTGCACGTGACACATGTCGTAGATTGGGTGCTGATTTGGCTACTATAACAACTAATGATCAACTTAATGCAATATCAAGTTATTTGTTATCTAAAGGATACGGAGAAAATGATTGGTTTTGGATAGCTGGCAATGATTTGGCTCAAGAAGGAAATTTCTCTTGGGTTAGTAATGGTGAAAAAATGACATTTGCAAACTGGTCTCAAGGACAACCAGACAATAATGGTGGTATCGAAGATTGTGTACATTTGTGGTTGCGTGAAGGACAATTTAAAATGAATGATTGGCAGTGTAGAAACGGAAAAGCCTATTATATTTGTCAAGCACCCGAACCTAAAATGGTCTGTTTATGGGTATAATTTAATATTTGAAAAAAAAAATTTGTTTCTAAAAATACCAAATCGTTTTAAGAAATTCGTAAAAGAATTTTTACTTTTTTTTTTTATAAAATATATAAGATAATAATAATCTTATAATATAAGATTATATAATAATAATATATATATAAGATTCAATTTTTTAAATAGTGAATATAGGTGACTATTTTTATATAAGAGCTCGTGTTAGACAGTAATGCTATATATTAATTTTAGTTATTCCGAAAATAATTTCGTTTCCTTAAAGCTTTAAATATTCAATTGAATTTTATCTCTATATTGGTCGAATATCTTCTGAGCTCTTTCTGACAGTAGATTACAAAACTTTTGATATTTGCTAGCACTAAACTGATTTAATTAATTTCTGACGTCTTAAGTTAAATAAACTATAATTGGATTCAACCAGTTCTTGAGAATATGGTAATTGTGGTAGTACATCCAATTCAAATTGTAAAAATTTTTATCAAGCTATCAAATGTCTGTAAGGTTTTTTATTGTTTTGCTGCTACTTCTATGTCATATTTTTTGCATTGTTCAATTGTGGTATTTTTTGTTTGACTAAGTAACTCCATTTGTTCAGTTAAATTGATCATATCATACTTTTGAATTGATCTTGAAGTTCTACCAATCAGATAATAACATTTTTTTAATTAATATTGGGTTCGAATGTGCTTTAAGGCGTTGCTTCTTTTTTACTGCATAATCTGTTCTATTTTATAATAACTACTACATTAGAGACTACTATTTTTCTTTCCAGTTAATTTGTATTAAAAATAAATCATTTTTTTCCAAAATTATAGAAGTTAGTATGATTGATCAAATTTTTTTCTGTAAAAATATGAAGAATCCATAAGTAATAAGAGCGTTTTGTATTAAATTCGATTAATTTAACATCTTAACGATTTTATAATCATGACCAATCTTTATTATGTCTATGTGTATTACTTGAAAACCAGTTCTGTGATCATTACAGTACATATCAAATAATTCTACTCTTACTTTAGCAACATTTTTACATTATTAATAGTTACTTTCAAATATATTATTATTTAATCCTTTTATTCCTAGGTGGAACAGAGGGCCGTAACAAATAGTTTCCATTGAACTCTATCTAATGCAAGACGTTTTGTTTCACTCCCGCTCTTTCCAGCATTTCTTAATTCGGCTTCAGTTTGTCGTTTCCAAGTGTTGCGCGGACGCCCTGGTCTTCTACTGCCTTGAGGGTTGAAATCTAAGACATTTCTTGCGATATCATCAGCGGGTTTTCTTAACGTATGGCCAAGCCATTTGTATTTGCGCATCATTATTTCATCAGTTATAAGAGGCTGATTCGTTCTAAACCCGAGCTCATTGTTGGTTATGGTTGCTGGCCAGAATACATGAAGGATGCGTCGTAGACAACGATTGACAAAGGCTTGTAGCTGTTGTGCGTCTCTTGCCGTTAGGTTCCAACTCTCACTACCATATAGTAAAGTTGATTTTACGTTTGCATTGTACAGGTGTATCTTAGTGCGTTGTGTGATGTTGGATGAACGCCAGATTTTGTTAAGGGTTCCAAACGCTTGCTTCGCTTTCGATAGCCTGTACTGTATGTCTTGCCGACTGCCGCCGTTGTTCGAAATGTAGCTTCCCAGATAGCAGAAACTTTGTACATCTTCGATGTAGGAGCCATCTAGTTGAAACTTCGTTAAGCAGTTTGAATTGAAACGCATAGAC